GGGGCACGTCGGCTTGTATGGTCATTAGTCCCGTTAGTGTGGTGGAGGGTGGTGGGGCTGTTCCTTCCCAGCGCGAATGGTGAGATCCGGCTCCGACCTACACGCCCTCTTGCGGATTTCCCCCCTTCAGGTATCTCCCTCAGCGGGAATCCAGGCTCAGCTCTAAGCGCCCAAGTATAGTGCATGTGTGTATGGGGAGAGGATAAGGCAAGGAAAAGGAAGAAAAGCGTTTCCAAAGGAGTGTCAATATTTGCTGTCTTTATTAACAATAAATATTGGAATAGTGAGGTAGTTGAAGCGTCGTGCTGGTAAAGCAATCTTCTTCACACGTCAGGAAATGTTCTTTCTTCTGTCCTGAAAGACCTATAGACGGAAGGGGCTTTGGAAGTGAAAATCGGTAAAAACGTTTGATTCATAACTTGCCTGTGCCCAATGTAAAAAATATGGAAGTACCAAGGGGCATGGATTTTACACATGTGTTTTGACTATGTGTAGGGCTGTTGTGTGTTTGATAAGCCTCTTAAGTTAACAATATTATAACTGGTCATAACAAGATTCACAAATTATCTCCAAAGTCGTTCGCTGACAGTTTATTAAATGAAACTGAAACCGGGATGCTTCTTAAAACTTTTATGCCTTTACGCTAAATCTTCATTGGCTTATTGGTTTAGCAGTGAGTTGTCGGCGTTTAAAACGAAATAATTATAGGCGTTTTCATTACCAACAACATTATAATATTGCGAAAAACCCTTTTTGGGTGTTATGATTTGTTGTAGTTTGGAAACCTAGAAGAATCTACAAATATGCTGTCAAACAGATATGACGATTTTTACTGCTGTTAATCCATTTTTTTTAAAAAAAGATCAAATATCAAAAATTAGGATCGGAACATGGTATCCATCGTCGCCGAATTCACGATGGCGGTGGCGACATCAAATCGACCACTGTTAATTTATGCTTACCAAAATCCTGTGTTGCTATTGTTACTTTCATATTACGCGTTGTGACACGTGATATATTATAAAGTGTTTCGTATTCTGAGAGATTACGCGTGCAAATTTATCAGGCGCAGAATCAACAAGTTATAGAACATTTCTCAACGACTGTCGTTCGACGAACAGTAAATACTCGTACTTGGAAAACACAGCATTTCGCTCTGAGAAATGTCGTGGTTTGGCGGCTGAAACGTTGGCACCTGTGCCTTGGACCGGGCGTCCCGCAGAGAGTCGTGTATCTACGAGTGTGTGTACGTGTATTATCTACACTGTACCGCAGTTTTATTCGAACTGAATACTTAAATGTAGTGTTACATACCGCACGTGTCATAGCACTTCCTTGAGACATACTCGTAGTAGTGCATTTTGTAAGGCAATGGTTTTGGCTTGGGGCGAGGGCGTCGTGCGTTCGCCGATCGGATACTCTTATGTGGAAAGCCGCATGGAAAGCATAGCGTATCGCCCCGAGGAAAGTCGCGACGTGACAGCTAAAAACGTCAGAAAACTGTATCTTGGACGCTGCTTCTACCGGAGAACGAAATTTCTTCCTAGAAGAGTACATGTTTTATCTACACTTCACAGCAGTTTTCCCCGAAGAGAATTTAAGAATGTTGTGTTTGATACCGCACGTGCCGGAGCACTTCCTTGGGCCATGCCAGTGCCTTGTGCAAGGCAAAGGTTTTGGGTTGGGGCGGGGGCGCCGGGGCCTTCGCCGATCGGCGTCGGCGGAGCTGTGCCGCGCGGCCGGCGCACGGCGGCGTCGGCGCGAAGATTAATGTTGGTGCCTGATTATCGTGTTAAAGCGTCGCCGCGCCTCGGTGCGTCCGCGCCGCTCCCGCTCCCGCCCCCGTCGCGCCGCGCTTCACTTGGCGGGCGCGGGGCGATGCGGCGTGGACAGGCGGGCGGCGCAGATGGCGGGCGTGGCGCCGCCTAAACACTCGCTTCCATGCTGCTTTCGAATTAAAATAATTGCATTCAATCCCGTTTTTTTTACGAGAAAAAAGGAACTTCATTGTCAATGACAATGGACTCGCAACAAAAGAA